GAAGGGATCCAACTTCTCACTTGATTTGTTACCTCAGTAAACATTTCCCTAATGAGTTTATGGTCTCAATTGCTAGTTTCTAGTTTCCTTCAATACGGCAAGATGGTCATTTTGTAAATTATGGTCCTATTTAGAGTTAAACAAAAAATAAAGCCGGGTGTGCATTCGGCTTTGCTACCACGTGATTGACAATCCATCTTTTAAATACAGTCTAAGGTATATAAAAAAGCTTTCAGTGCCTGTGCACTGGCATCCGAAGCAAATTAAGATATAAATTTAAAACGTGGAGTAAAATTATGCCGCTCCTATCACTGCTTTTCTTAGCTGGAAGAAAATATATCCCTTAATAGTCTTTCTAAGCCTTTTACCCATCAAGCACGTTAAATATTATCATAAATCTTTTGCCGCCCTCACGACGTGGTTAATGATCAAAAACATGATTCACAATCCATCACTGTCGATAGCCAATAGGTGCACTTTTGTTTGGCTCACGTCGGCTCGGCAACAGTGACAGCAGGCTGTAGTGGCAACACTCGTGTTTACACCGTAACCTCTTCTGTGACTGTCAGAACGTGACAGCAGATGCAGCAGCAGAAAGAGTGAAAAACGATTCTGTTTCCCCGTCAGGTGCTTCCCGTGGTCACACGTCGTGATTCCATCAAAAGTGATACCAGCAGCAGTGTACGGCACATTTGACATCATTTGCTAATGCTAGCTTTGATAACAGCGTTGTATCAGGTGCGTCGATTGTTGCCTTTCTGTCTACGAGAGCAGAATTAGAAAAGGCCTAATGCAGTGCTGTGTCTTTTAATCCTGTTTGACCTGCAATTTCCTGCCAGGAAGTCAAATCAAATCAACCTGCCCAGGCCTTATGTGTGGTTGGCGTAATGTGCTCCTCAGCTGACAGTTGTAATTTCCCAACTCCGCAGCCACGGTGGTCAACAACATAGAATAGAACACGCACTTAATTTATGATAAGCTGTAATCAGCTTGGCGCTATGAGACAGACAAGGCCTGCTAGGACGTTTGGAGGAGAAATCCAGATCAAGAGGGAGCGACTTAAGAACTCTTACTCAGTTCGAGGCACCAATGACACAGCTGCAAAGTAAAGACGATGTTTCACGTAATAGTAATATATGGATCTGTTGCTTTTTCTAAATTAATTGCTTCATCATACTGAGAACGAGCATGTTTTGTGCAACGTGTAAAGTCATTCATTTTAAAGATGATTAATGGCCAGTTTATCACATTTAGGAATCCGAAAACAAGAAAATGAATTACATCATTCATCTTTCAGAACTGGTATCTGTTAGTTTTTAACTTTGCTTCAACTGAAAAATGACATCAGGCCTTATTGTAGGCTCCACACGCTGTGCACGGATGTTAAAGCTGGCGCGATTAGTCAATTAGTCGGTCCGCAGAAAATTAATGCAACTATTTGCACAATTGATTCCTGCTTTTGTGTCGTTTTTCAAGCGTGAGCGCCAAACATTCGCTGGCTCCTGCCTCCAAGACGGATGTGCTGTTTGGTCTTTTATCCTTTGTAAACTTGAATATATGTGGACTGTTGGACAAAACAAGTCACTGGAAGGTGTCACCTTAAGGCTCCGGGAAACCAGATTAGGAAAATAATCTGCAGAATCTATTGCAATAGAGAGGAGGGGATAAAAAAAAACAAAACAATAAAAAAGCATCAGTTGTAGCTCTAATGAACACATTATTTTTTCTTCCGCGCACAGTTGGGCGACTGTACTGAGTTTGACCTCTGTGATTAATATGTAACTTTTAAGGCAGATGCTTGGAAACGCAATCAGAAAATAGATCTACTGACAAAAAAAGCATCACAGTAATAAACTTAAAGCCACTAAAGACTCATTTGGCTCTTTATGGAACCACCAGGTGCCCTGAAGCAACGCGTTTCGCACAGCAGAACTATAAAGAAGATCTTAGCTTAAAGTGAACGCCGGCTGGGTCTCTGTGTGTGTGCGAGCGACTGAAATGTGATTTGGAGGTGATTATTTGATTGCAGCGTGCTGTTGACTTGCTCATTTCACTTGCGTCAGAAGCTTCGGCGCCGGTTGCCATGGAGACGGGCGTCGTTCACAAGTGAAACATCCCGCCCTCTCCTCTCGTATTTGATTGAACAAGCGAGGATTGTAACTGTTTAAAACAGCAAGATATTCATTAATGCAGAAAGTACTCTAATTAGCTTCTTTTGACAGCGCAATAGAGCAATAGTAGGTAGGCTGAAACTTAAACGAGGCCTAAAATAGAAAAAATGAGTTACTGCTAGTGTTGTCAGTAGCAATATTCCTCAAGATTACAGATGCAATCTTTATCTGTCCTCTATCTCTCCTTAAATGCCCCGTTCGCTATCATAATGCCTGCCCCTCATATCTGATGGCCGTGTTGTGCTTAATAACAAGCTACGACTGCAGGAGGGGAGGGGTACGTTGGGGGATAAACAAATTAACAAAGCTATTCGCAGCCCCTGCAACACCAGGGGGTACGGGGAGGAGAGGAAAGAGGGCAGTAAAGAAAGAGAGGAGCACTGCTTTAGCTAATCACAACAGGGGGCATACGCTGCAATCACTTAGGCACAGCATTATCTCTGCAATCATGCATCGCCCCATTGTTGTGCTAATTGGAAACCTTAATTTGAGACATAATATTATTGCCTCATTATTTGCCGGGTTACTTTCTCCCTCAAATTAATAAACAAGTCGCACAACTAACGCGGCGAGCTTTAAGGAAAAGGCAATAATTTGAGGTGGGTTTAAAAAGAAGCGGTTTGAAAAATCATCAAGGTCAGATTGTGTTTATTGAATTATTAAAAAGCTACATCAAATGCCGGGGAACCGGCCGACCGTTACACCGCTGCTCGCCCCGTGTCTTTACAAGATCGGCTACAAGCTCTGCTACATGCACAACCACGGACGACTGCGGCACGGCGAAGGAAAGTTTTGGCTGAGCGTCGTGAGAAAAGATGAAGATACGGCCAAATGTAGCAGCTGCGTTAAGATGATTTTCACCAAGGGAGGGGGGGGCAAGCATCTCCAAAATATTCTGAAATGTTTGGCTCCAGCTTGGCACGACTGTAAAGGAATATGTCTTTTTATTTTTTTTTTAAGTGTTGCAAATGTCTTGATTCAGTTAGCAGCATCTGCAGCTGACAGACAATGAGTTACCTACTGCAGGACGAGAAAACTAAAAGCGGTCAGAAAAAAATGAAGCCAAACACAATGCAATCCATCCCACACTTCAAAAAACCCCGAGATATATTTAGCCCACGATCACATAAAACCAAGAAAAGCAGCCAATGTTCGCATTTGAGGAGCTGGAACAATGTTATGTTTGGTTTTTCTTGCCTAATAACTGACTTAAATAATTCATCAAAGTTGCCTCTGCCGGATTTAGTAAGTGACTGATGATGACGGCATGTGGTGGGTGGAAAAAAAAAGAAGAAAGAAATCAAATATCTGTCATATAAATAATAATAATAATAATATTAAATATGTACAACAACCTCCTACCTCAGTACAGTAAAACAATCAATGGAAGCTGATTATATTTAAACTAAAGGAAAATTCATTATCATATTTTGAAAGTTGAATAAATTAATTTAGCTCCGTATTACATTATGATAATAAGGATTAATCTTCAATAAGAACTTGATTTAATGAGAGTCTGACTCGAAATCAATAAATACAGCAAAAAAGTCGGCGTGGCGATTATTTGATGAAGACGAGGACGCAAAATACCACTGGGGCAGGGTTTTGTGTGTTTTTTTTTTTCCCCCCTCTCTCTTCCTGTGACTGACTGGTAATTAATTCATTAAAATTACTGAATCATTATGTAATGAGAGAACCTAATCATCTGGTGGCCTGTGTCTCAACCTCTTCCCCCTAGACAAAGACATTAAGTCCATGACCACTTTAATCTTGCAATTTGAATATCTTTGATTTACAGGCGAACATGTCATCCGTGCTCGCGTCCCATACATCTTGGCGCCGTTGCCGTGGTGACGTCAACATGGAGATCAATCATTTGCCAAACAGGAGTGGAGCATGACACCAATTAAAAGGTGATGTCGTCTCCGAGTCATCACTCACACTCCTCACTAATGCACTAATTACCGGGGCTGGGACATTAATGGAATAGCATGGTTCAGCCTGGGGATTAATCTGCATGGATTCGCCTGTGTGTGTGTGCGCGTGTGTGTGTGATGTCTGTCTGTGATGTGTGTGTGTGAAAGTGTGTGTGTGATTAATGCAAACCCCCGCCTGCTCCGGCGTGACCTTGAGCACCACCACAGGAGGGAAATGAACTGGCTGGGTGGAGGGTTGGGATATCTGCACTTGGGGCGGTGGAGGGAAGCCGATGTGCTACGGTGGAGGGCCCGGCCAAGGTTGAGGCCGAACTGGGAATTGGTGCAATCGGAAGGGGATCGATGAATAAATTTGTGTTTTTTTGACTTTGACGAACTCCGCTGATGATCTTGCGGAGCGACTTCAAAAAAACTTTTCGTGCTTTCTGAAAATTCCAATCAAGTTGGTGATAATCAGAAAAAAAACTCTGGCATTAATCTGCATTTATGAGCTGCTCAGAATCACCCAGCGTTTATTGGCAGCTGCAGTCAGTGTGGAGTGAAAGCAGCAAAAAGTACAACTTAAAAACACCTCATTACAATCAAAAGTATTACAACTTAAGCCCTGCATTACTGAAGTCCCAGTGGTTCTCAAACTGGGGGTCGGGACCCCCATGGGGGTCCCAAGATAGTTCCAGGGGGGACGCCAGATCATTGTAAAAAGAAAAAAAGAGAAAAAAGCCTACATTTATCTAATAAATTTGCATTCGGGCTGTTAAAATGAAATGTGTGTACTTCTTCCCACTCCTTCTTTAAACTTGTCATATTATAATTTGATTATGCAATATTATTATTCTTTTTTAAAATGATCTTCTTTTGTTTTTAGATTCTTTTTCCCGTTTCACTCGGTAGAAATAAATTTAATTCACTCATTCATTCAAAAGAAACTTAAAGTGTTAATGTAAAGAGATCAATCTGTGGAGTTAACACATTCAAGTTATTACTCATGAGATATTAAAAATGAAACTGGGGGGGTCACGAACACAAATTTCTGTTATTTTGGGGGTCGTGGCTCAAAAAGCTTTAATATTCATTCATTCATTTCTGCAGCTTTCATCTAATATCTCACCACCGACTCTGATCCCACACACACATATTTACATAAACATCGATTTAATAACTGTCGTAACCTTCACTGGCCGCGCATTATTTTTCACAAGCTGCTCAATCAAACTATTGAACGGCTCGCGTCACAACTATTAAGCTGAAATTATTGATGTGAAAAACGTCTGAAGAGAAGAATTCGTCTAATGCGGTGCCATTAACGGGAGATGTTATTGTCTCTCTTTGTTGGGGTTGTTGGAACTTCGCCCTCTTGTGCAGCGAAAATCTGCTTCTAGGAAAAGTAGAGCAGCAACAGGCTTTAGGTGGACAGCAGTAAAGAAAGGATCTGACTTTAATCAGCTTTATTTTAGCCGATATAGATCCATTAAAAGACGCCGGGACGGATTGTTGTTCCTTGTGCATTACTGCTTTAAGCTGCAGCGACTGTTTAATCTGTGACAGAACATCAAATTCAACACTTTGACCTATATTTCTCATGTAAAATCTTAATCTGTAAAAGAGCTTTAAAACAAACGTAGCGGAGTGAAAATATTTCCTCCAGAATTGCAAACGAATAGAAGCTTATTGGAAAAAATCAATTTCAAAAAGACTAAATAATACGATACGAGAAACATCATTAAAGCCGTCGTAATGAAAGTTGCAAAGTTTTGATTAAACTGAACATAAACGAGGGAGTTAAGTAACGAGGCGTCACCTTAAAGCAAATGAAACATTTAATTGAATTAAATGTTAAATAAGCATCAACAAAATGTGTAAACAATTAAAAAAAACGCAGACAATAAGGTCATAAGCTCCGGCGAACCTGGATTGATTAATATAATAAAAAAAACAGCAGGAGTGGAAATGCAATAAGGTGATTGTGTAGCTGTGCGAAAGAGGAAAAACACTGAGTGAGTTACTGTAAGTGAGTATTCATCACAGAATAATTACCAGGTTTGTGCGCCTTGGTCCAGGACAGCTAATTTACAATTCAGAATATCCTACAGAGGGTCGCACTAGGAATACAACACAACACTGCTTCAGAGTAGCAGCGTGGAATTTCCAGGAGTCCTGCTTTGATCCCATATCGATTTCCTTTTCTTTTCTCTTTTCTCTTTGCTCCTGTATTTTTTTGTTTTTTACCCTCTGACACCTGCAACATTCGGTGCGTGTAAAATTCCCTGTTCTGAGCGTGCGTTTTTGTTTTTTTATGTATCGATTCTTTTTTTGAATTAATAGGCAGTCTCTCTTGACAAGCCTCCCAATTTCCAAGCCATCAAATTTGAAAGGTGGATTTTTTTTTATTTCTTTCCTAAAATCAAAACAAAACAAATGCTTCTGTGCTCGACTCACCGATGACGTATGTGAGCAGCAGGGCCAGGGTGAGGGTGAGGAGGGACGCCGACAGGGCCGTGCACTTCCAGTTGCAGCAGCGGTGAGGCTTGTTAAAGGTAAACAGTGGTCTGGTCACGCTGCTGCGAGGGAGAGGCCGGGGCGGAGGCGAGTACACCGTCCCGGAGGTCAGGGGGTAGCCCTGGCCCGCCCCGGACAGCAGGGCCGAGGATCCGGAGCCCTGCTTGAACAGGAAGTGCCTGCGAAGGGAAACACACAAAAAAGAAAATGTCTGTCAGAGGATAGCAAGGCTCGTGTACGGTTATGTACAGTGAATCGGAATATTGCAGGAAAATATCCATCCATTATCTATACACCGCTTAATCCTCACTAGGGTCATGGGGGGCTGGAGTCTATCCCAGCTGACTCAGGGTGAAGGCAGGAGACACCCTGGACAGGTCACCAGTCTATCACAGGGCTACACTTAGAGACAGACAACCAAGCACACTCACATTCACACCTACGGACAATTTAGAATCACCAATTAACCTCAGCATGTTTTTGGACTGTGTGGGAGGAAGCTGGAGAACCCGGAGAGAACCCACGCTGCACGGGTAGAACATGCAAATTCCACGCAGAAAGATTCTGGTGCCCCCACCGGGACGCGAACCGGCAACCTTCTTGCTGCGAGGCAACAGTGCTACCAACTGCACCACAGAATTATAATTTACACATTTTCATTTGTGTGTGTACAAGCAGCTAAGTCAATCTGTGAATCTGCTGTTGTATAGCACAGCGGTCCCCAACCACCGGGCCGCGGACCGGTACGGGGCCGCACAGAAAGACAACATTTGATTGGTTTATTTTTATTTCCAGTGGAGTCTGCAGGGTGTTTTATTTTGAAAAATGACTAGCTCGTCTTCCCGTCGCGTCCGTCTTGTTTCTCGCACTTGACTCTTATTAGTTTTAATGCTCGGCCGTTAAACGAAGCCGTCGGTCTAACCGCTGCCGAAATAAATAAGAAAACAAACATCTCAGGAGAGCTTCTTTGGAAAGAGACTCGATACTGAGACGGAAACACATATTTAACAAGTAATTTTATTAATTTACGAAACTTTTTAATAGTAGAAACAATTATTTTTTGTGCAATGACCAGTCCGTAGAAAATGTTCCTGATTAAAACCGGTCCGTGATGATGATGGTATAGCACACTTGCATTTGCCTAGTTTGGTTCTGCCTCCTCCTGATTGGTTAGTTCCTGTCAGGTGACAGTGTGTGTCAGGAAGTTGTGGTGGCCGCTGACATAAGAAATCCGTCTCGTCTCATTATTAATCAGAGTGATCCATTAACCATCAACGAACCCTCACGTTACACTTACATGCGTGTCAACCTAAATTATAAACCCATAAATTAAACAAATTCTCCCCGATTTAAACCCCGTCTAGACATATTTATACCATCATTCCGATTATAAAAGAAGTCTCCGTACGTGTGGTAGGGGTTGAGTAAGGGCAGATTCTGTTGCTGCTATTAAGCTGCAGAACACAGCTTCAGCCCTTTACCACATTTGTAGGGGCATCAGACTGACTTGGGCAAACATCATCATCATCTGTGTCTGATTTTTCTCTCTGATGTACGATCCTTTGGTGTAGTTTCCATTAAAAGTGGTCTTTTGCATCATTCACGCTGGACGCTACCACCTTGATGTCTCGCGCAACCTGTGAAGTGTGTGTGTATATTTTTTTTTTTGCCGGGACGATAACACAGTTAAACACTGCTTTTTGTGTCGAAAATGTAATAAATTGTTAATATCTAATATGTTGAGCTGACTTTTATCCATCATTTCTATGGATTTTTATGGCCTTTTCCATTAGGCGGAAAGAAGACATCGACATGTACAGACTGACCACTTTAAAGTGTTTTTAATTCATGAGAAAATAGGCTCGAGGCTTTTTTAACAGAAGTGGACAAAATCCCTGCCAGCAACTGTTGATTTAGTCGCCTGACATGACAACTGTTGCCGGCGGCTTTTATCAGCCGTAGCTAGCTCATTAAGCTAACATTAGCTGTGGGAGCGGAGTAGCAAAGCGAGTCAGACTGCTTAATGTTTCCGGCTGACTTGATTTAAAATGAAAACCTTGTAAGAAGGGCTTTGAATATGCACTTGATGGCAACATACATGAGGCTGTACTAAAAGGCAAAAGCTGCAGCATCCTCAGCGGTAGATGAAACATAAAGAAGAACACAGAAATAAAGCTTGTATTTGTGTTGCAGTTTTGTTCTAGCATCACCGTGACTACAAAGACATATATTATTGTTGCTGTGGCTGTCTCTTAAGATTACCTGTTCAAAAATGTCACTTTTAATGTTACAAACAAGCTCAAATGAGGCGTCACTGAATTGTAAGTGTCCCAAAACAGTAAGTTGTTAAACTCTTAAATGCGACACAGTGTTTGTGCTAGTCATGAATGTTAAACATGCGACCATACAAACAAATGCGCCTCTCAGCAGAAAGTCAAGTTATTTGTTAATGTGTCCATATGTTTGTTTGTTTTTTAAAAAATATATTTAAGTTTCATGCATAACAAACCAAAAGAAGCATTGCTGTTAGCTTGCACGGTTGGACTTCCGTATCATTATTCTTTCTAGAAATTGGTTTCCAGTTGTAATAAGTTTGGCCGATTTCCTCAAATCGTACAGCTTTGTTCCGTATAAGGAAGTTTAGTGTTTGAGCATTAGTGAGCTGGTGTGCTCCAGTTGCAGTGAAGCGGCAGAGGTGAGTGAACAAAGATATAGTGTGATATGTAAATCATTTTAAGAGATTGTTTCAATGGTGTTTGTCAATTTCAGTGTTTTTAGGGTTGTAGAATCCGATAGCGTAGTAACAGCTGATAATGTAATAACAGCCTATAATGTAATAACGGCCGATAATGTAATAGCAGCCGACAACGTAATAACGGCCAATAACGGCCGATAACGTAATAACATAATAACGGCTGATAACGTAATAACGGTTTGTTAATGTAATAACGGCCGATAGCGTAATAATAGCCGATAACGCAATAAATTTGCCATTTTGAAAATGTAATAGACTGATGTAATGACTTTTGGCCAATAACGTAATAACGGCAGATAACATAATAACGGCCAATAATGTAATAACGGTCAATAACATAATAACAGCTGATAATGTAGTAACGGCCGACAGCGTAATAACGGGCAAGAGCGCAATCACAGCCGATAACGTAATAATGGCCGATAACATAATAAATTTGCCATTTTGAAAATGTAATAGACCGATAACGTAATAACTTTTGGCCAATAACGTAATAACAACCGATAATGTAACAACGGCCAATAACGTAATAAAAGTCCTAAACCGATAACGTAATATCTTTTAGTTATTACATTTGCAATTTTTTATTTTTTTACCAGGCCAATAACATAATAAGTTATTACATTGTTGACCAAAACATATTACATTATCGGTTCAGGACTTCTATTACGTCATTGGCCAGTTGTTACGTTATCTGCTTCTACAAGGGTTTAAATATTAAACC